TGCCGTTTATGCCAAATCCTTAATAAGTCCAGTTCAACCCTTTAAAAACATCTTCCAGAGCAAGAGTAAACAACATAGGAGATAAGCCCCTTGGCGGATCTTGCATCGAATGTTGCTTGCAATAACTCATTACATCTGCAGCGTGGTGCTCTTTGTATAGCCTAAGTTTCGGTGTTATCAAAGGCTTATCGTAATCCACGAATCTCTTGGTCTTTTAGACAATGTATTTGTCATCTCTCCAGGTTTCATCTTAAACATTTCATATTTTTGTTAGTCCATTTTCTGTTAGTACTCTTTTCGAAAAATGAATCCATTGAGTATATAATGAGTTCAGACGTAAAATTTAGCATTCTTTCTCTTCTTTTACTCTCACTATCTTCTCCTTCTTCTGATCCTTATGCCTGATGACGTCGGATAAATCTTTTCCTATTCCTCCATCCACTTCTTCCACCCCCTCCTGTTCCTGGCTAATTCCTTTATATCTGGTAGAGTCTTCCCTCTCTTCTTCCCAACTTCTGCTATTCTTTCTTCCTAGGTCTTTTCCTCTTTTTCTTATCCTTGTTCTTCGCTTCAAATACCTTTTTTACTATTGTGTTATGTTCCATTCTAATTATGTGGACGTACCAGTTTACTTGGTTTCTTTCTATTTGGCTGATTATCTCCTCTTGACCTACTCCCAGTCTTATTTCCCCATTTCTTATCCTGTCCCACTTCGTCTTCCCCACTATTTTCCATAAAAATTTCATTTCCATTGGTATGATCTTTCCTCCTTTCTATTTATTATATTCTAATAAGTTCTATAATGAGTTCAGACATAAAATTTTGCATTCTTTCTTTTCACTCACTATCTTCTCCTGATCCTTATGCCTGATTACGTCGGATAAATCTTTTCCTATTCCTCCATCCACTTCTTCCACTTCCTCCTGTTCCTGACAAATTCCTTTATATCTGCTAGAGTCTTCCCTCTCTTCTTCCCAACGTCTGCTATTCTTTCTTCCTAGGCCTTTCCCTCTTTTTCTTATCCTTATTCTTCGCTTCAAATACCTTTTTTACTATTGTATTCTTATCCTGTCCCACTTCGTCTTCCCCACTATATTCCATAAAAATTTCATTTCGATTACTGTGATCTTTACTCCTTTCTTATATTGGGATTACCTCCGAGTTGTACACTTTTAATTTTATCTTTTTATATACAGTGTGTTAATTAATTATCGTACCCGACGTCATCATTATATGCAACCAATATCGCAAATCGCGTATTACAATACGCATACTGTGATATTGGTTGCATACTTGCAATGATGACGTCGAGTACGGTAATTAATTAACACAGTGTATATCCTTCTTCCTAAAAATTGTTCTGTTTAGAGTATGATATACGTTGTTTGTTTTCCTTATTTTTGCGTTTATGTCTAAATCTGTCCTTCCATGTTGTGATATTATACTGCCCAAGTACCCATATGATGATAGTTCTTACTCATACAATTTTATATTTATTTACGTTCAATTCTAGGCCCATCTTTTCAATTTCTTCTGTCTATACTTCAACCAACTTCCTTGCCTTTTTATGGTTCTCTGCTGTCAGTACTATGTCATCAGCATATAGTAAATTATCTATTTTTACTGGTTCCAAACTTTTATAACCTATTACTATTTGATATTTATTTGTTTTTATTCTTGTATTTTTTTCTATTAATATTATAAATAACAAGGGGCTTAGGCTATCACCTTGGTTTATTCCCTTGCTCATTTCAAAAATTTTTGATGTTTCTCCCTTCATTTGTACTGTGCCCTTGACTTTCTTGTACAGGTTTTCAATTATTTTTGTTAGTTTTTGTGGTATCATTAGTTGTTCTAGACACTTCCATATAATACTACGGTTAATCGTGTCAAAAGTTGCTTTTAGGTTCAAAAATATTAGATATAGTTCATTGTCCATCTCTATTTTCCTATCAATGATATTTTAGATTACATGTATATTATCGTTCGTTTGTTAGCTTGCTCTGTATGTTGCTTGTTCATCTTCTAGTTTATTTTCCACTAACTACTCTTCTTAACCTTTTTTCTTTCTTATTATCTTTGTGTATAATTTGTAACTTATAGATGATAGGCATATGGTTCTGTAATTTTCACAGTTCGAGTAGCTTCCTTTTTTATGTATTGGTAAGTTGACATTATCTTCCCAATCTTTAGCTCACTCTTTAACTCATAAACCAGTGATATAATATATATATATGCCTCTTTAAGGTCAATCTTCCATTCATGACGATTATTTCCTCGTTAGATCTAAATCATCGGTCTATCTCATGGGAGGTTGTTCTCGACCTTTATGTCCAATATTGCTTCTCAGCAAAGCTATTTTTCGTCAATTCCAGGTATTTATTTCCTTGTCTTTTAAGGAAATTCCAAGCATGGCACCTTGATTTTTGAGTATGTAGGTATGTTTTTGTCAGCATTTCTTACAGGTCTTTTGTGTTTAACGCAATTATCACTACATTGTTAGCGTAACAAAGATGATTTGGGCATTTGCCATTTATGTCCAGTCCTTAATAAGTCCAGTTCAATCCTTTAAAAACATCTTCCAGAGCAACTTTGGAGATAAGCCCCTTGGCGGATCTTGCATCGAATATTGATTGCAATAACTCATTATATCTGCAGTTTCGTAGTGCTCTTTGTATAGTCTAACTTTCAATATTACCACAGGCTTTTTCGTAATCCACGAATCTCTTGGTCTTTTAGACAATGTATTTATCATCTCCCCAGGTTTCATCTTAAACATTTCATATTTTTGTTAGTCCATTTTCTGTTGGTACACTTTTTGAAGAATGTGTCCATTGAGTATATGTTGAGTTCAGACATATTATTATTATTATTGCTGCCGGGCTGAGGAGGGCGGCCCCTCTCGTTACCGCGACAGTTCAGACATAAAATTTAGCATTCTTTCTCATCTTTTACTCTCACTATATCTATAACTCATAAACCAGCGATATAATATATATTCCCGGAGTTCCTATAGCCTTTGCCGCATTTCGATCGCCATTTTTTTATTCCTCCATCACTCTTCCAGTAATTAATAAGCGTTTTATTGTTTTTAGATTTACAATTTTCCCTTTAGTAATATAATATAATACAATACAATAATCGCAAATCGCGTATTGCAATACCAATACTGTGATATTGGTTGCATACTTGCAATGATGACGTCGGGTTGGGTTGGGACGATAATTAAGTAACACACTGTATATATATATACCTCCAGATCCTCTACCCTCGTTCTCCCTCTCCATACCTTCGCTTCCTCGCCCTCATCACCTCCCTCATCCATCTTTTGCCCTCGCCCCCCTCTGCCAAAACCTGCTTCCTGTCCATTGCCTCCTCCCTTAGCTCACTACATCCTCTCAGCATATGTTCCAGCGTCTCCCAATCCTCTCCACATCGTCCGTCCAGTATCTAATCCCTCTCTCCTCATTGCCACAGCGGAATCTGGCCACCAATCTCTTCCCTTCATCATCCCCCTCCATCAACAAATACTTTGGCAGTTCCTCTGTCACTATCTCCCCATACCTTTCATTATATCTCTCTATCCTTCTCGTATCTGTGACCTTCTTTCCTGTCTTTGTATGTCCCTGTCCCTATCTCTCAGTTCTCTCCACATTTCACCCCTCTCCCTCTTCCAGTAAGTTATGGTCTATCTAATTCCTTGAATTCAAGATGTATTTGATCGACCTTATCTTCTTTTATGTTGAAGTACATATCCAAGAACTCTTTTTGGTCATCCTCATACCATATCAACTGTTTGGTTTTCACCTCATCAATTATCGTATACAGGGTGTCCCGTATCTTCCGCATCAGAGCATTATACGGTTGTAAGATACATTATTCTGAAGCGATCACTCTGTATATCCTGTTCATTCGTTGTCTAATTTCCTCATTTAGGACATGTTACAGTCTTGACACTCTACATGCTCTTAGATTACTTAGAATCTACTAGATTTGGGAAATCCAGTTTTCCAACATTTTCTACCAACTTTAACTAACAACCCATCTTTTAAAAAGGAATCGCAAGCTTTTCTGACATTTGACATCGCTGTAATAGACAAGTTCCAATGTGCAGACTTGGTAGATAGGATTCATTTCCTGTGTTGCTTAATTGCCGCCTTCCATGAAATTTGCAATCTTGCAGATTCGAGGAAACATCTTCTACCTACATGCGTTTATGCGACCACGAAACTTTAAATTAATTATTAATCAATCAAGAAAAACCTTGAAAGTTGTTTATGAGACCACTTTGTATCTTATTATAAAAACGGTTAAATTCCGTGAAACTAAAACCCGATTGCGTGCTTTGAAATCGTGAACCTTTATGGAGTTGAAATTTTGTTGAAAACTTCCTCGACACTTTTAAACACTTTCCACCGACATTTAATTTTTTTCTGAAATAAAATCTCGACGGCTACGTATCGATCCAAGTTTATAAAGCGTAAATTTTAATAAAGATGTAAATATAACGTAAGAATTTAACTCCTCGTTAAAATATTTCTAGTATGTTTTGCAATCGAAGATTCGAAGCCCCAGTTTCGTGCCTGAAAATAATTATTATATTTTCAAAGAAAGTCTTCGTCTCTGACATTGCAATCATGGGGGAGGGTCAATCGGAGACGACGACGTCACGTAAGGGTAAAGAACGATTTAAAAGTAGGTAAATAGGTCAGGAACCCCTTCACATATTGCTTTATTGATTTATTAATAAAAATATGAACAAGTAAAATAAATTAATTTTTAAATAAATTAAGGTTGAAAATTTTTCTCATAAATCACAACGATCACAAAAGACGTCTAGCACAATAACGAACGACGCCGACGAGGTCGTGTTATAACATAAAATTTAATCGGCAACACTTTATCACTTAATAATTTATACTCCACCGTTTGAATCGTTCCTGGCACGAATAATTTAATAATTTTATGTCTTCTAAAACATTTAATTTTAAATATTGTAGTAGTATAAGTAAAGAAGATGAAAATCCAAGAAAAGAAAATTCCGAAAACACTCCACAGAATCAAGTTGGTTGTAAAAATAAAGATGAATCATCATCATCACTATCAGAAGGTTTTAATAACTGTAAAGAACAAGAATGTTGGGATATGTATTGCAAAATGAACGAGAAGGGTGTTACGATTTCCTTTGACACGATCCTAAGGGGAATGCTAACGCCCACCGAGTATAGATTAAGAAGTAAAGCACCTCACACCCCTTCTGCAACCGTTGAAGATAATTGCGAGATAACGGAAAATTAATTCCGAGATGGGGGGAAACATGCAAACAACCCTTAACAATGCAATTAAGTCAATACCAAATAAGTTCAATATTACAAGATTAAACATTAAAAAGAACTAGATGTTTTTTTCAAATTCACAATTTGTTTAGTACTGCATTATTACGTACTTTAGACTTAAAGATAAAATAGACAAATAGTTTTTACGATTAATGATTCTCTTCTTCCGAGAAAGTTATATTTTGCAATTTTTTAATAATCACCTTTTAGAATGTGTAATATAAAGTAATTTAATAAAAATACTATTAAAAATGTTTGTGTTTCCTTAACATCTAAAAGAAACTGACTACCTATCGTTAAATAGACTGCGTGTCAATATACTCTGTGTTAATACTAGAACTAACACTAGACCGAAAACTAGAAACATTCGGGTTTAGCCGCACGTCTCTCAAGACGGCTGAACCCGAATGATTCTAGTTCTTTTGTTAGTTCTAGTGATAATGCTAGTGTAAAAGTAGAACTAACACTAGACCTAGAAACTAGAAAGTATTGGGTTTAGCCGTGAGTCCTGAGAATGTTAGTTCTAGTGACAGTGTAAAACTAGAACTAGCACTATACCTAGAACTAAAATCATTCGGGTTTAGCCGTTTTTAAAGACGTGCGGCTAAACCCAAATGATTCTAGTTCTTCTAGGTATGGTGTTAGTTCTACATAGTAATAGTGCCAGTGTAAAACTAGAACTAACACTAGACCTAGAAAGCAGTGTCTTCAGACGCACGGCTAACCCCGAATGTTTCTAGTTATAGGTCTAGTGTTAGTTCTAGTTTTAGTGAAATAAAAATGTACAACATAGTGATATGTGATGCTAACTAGCGCTACCTACCAGCGTCAGTAAAACTAACTATAGACCTAGAACTAGAAAGTATCGGGTTTAGCCATGCGTCCTCAGAATGTTAGTTCTAGTGACAGTGTAAGTATAAAACTAGAACTAACACTATACCTAGAACTAGAATCATTCGGGTTTAGCCGTCTTTAGAGACGTGCGGCTAAACCCAAATGATTCTAGTTCTTCTAGGTATGGTGTTAGTTCTACATAGTAATAGTGCCAGTGTAAAACTAGAACTAACACTAGACCTAGAACTAGAAAGTATTGGGTTTAGCCGTGCGTCTCTCAAGACGGCGAAACCCGAATGATTCTAATTCTAGGTCTTGTATTAGTTCTAGAGATAGTGTTAGTGTAAAACTAGAACGAACACTAGACCTAGAACTAAAAAGTATCGTGTTTAATGCTGTGTTGTTAAATACTCGGGTATTTATTTCCAAAGGAAAATTCCCTGGATATATAATAATAATAATAATATCTTTATTGTGCAAAAACATTCAAGTGTTACACTCGTCAATCAGTACTACAATCTACAATAACCGTACAGACAAGTATAACAATAATCATAACACAGCAAACGCAATACATTAATTATAGCAACAATAGTCGTAATTACAAAAATAAACGCAAATTACGCACATGATCCATAGGAGTCAAAAATAATTACGGTTCCGATACACATATATTGAAATTCTCGGACGTAATTGTGTCGATTAAAAAGTCAGTACATGAGTAGTAGGCCTGCTCAACCAGGAATTTATGAAGACAGTTCCTTAGAGATTTAAGAGGCAATCCGGCGACAGTGAGTGGCAGTTTATTAAAAAACTTGACAGCAACAATATTTACACTTTGGTGACCCCTTGATAATCTGGAATATTTAGGTATGAGACGCCCATTGTTTCTAGTGTGGTGGTTATGGACCTCACCATGTGTGACAAAATGCTGACTCTGTACCTTAATGTAGAGTATGCTGTGGTATATATACAATGAAGGAAATGAAATGTCCGAATTTTCAATGAAACAAAAGAATTCCTGCAGTCATCACGATACTTTACATTATTGAGGACGCGGACTGCACGTCGCTGTAGTCTGAAGACACGATCGCACGATGAGGCCCCACCCCATGCAACTATTGCATACGACATCAACGATTGGCAGAGGGAAAAATATGCAATCCGTAGTGACTGCCGCGACACGTTCTTACTCAAAACCCACAGAAAAAAAAAACCCGGGGGTATTTACCCAAGATGGGTATTTAGAGGTATTTATAAAATTTGATTTAAATTGAGTTGATGGCAGATTTGCAAGTACTTCAAGAATGCAGAGTCGATTATCGATACACCAAACCTACTTATAACATTTATATAAAAATGCTACAATGATGGTAAAATTGCATGTAAGTACTGACCGAATACCCATTGGGCGTGGGGTAAAACAAGGCGATACAATGTTGAACCCAAATTGATGGCAATACCTAAGCAATTTGCGCTACGCGAATGAAACTAATGTTGAACGACTTACAGGAGGTGTGCAAAAGATCAACGTGAAAAAATCAAAATTTATGACAAATCTTGTTCTGAGCTCTAACATCAACATTGGGGATAATGAGACTGAGAGAGTTGACAGTTATGTATATCTTGGCAATGAGGTTCGTGTATCGAGAACGGTATAGTTCGATGGTTACGAGGTTCATGAGCGATATTTCTGTATATTTGAAAAGAAAGGCTTTCAATCAATGCGTGCTTCCTCCTTTGGTTATGATATACGGTTCCGAAATTTTAACATTAACGGTGGCCATTACCAGGAGGCTCAAAGTAACGCAAAAACAGCTGGAGAGGTCGATGCTGGATGTAACCCTGAGGGACTACATACCAAATGAAAACCTACGAAGAGGAACTGGCGTAAATGATATGATTAACATTGTGGCAAAGCTCACGTGAAACTGGGCCCACCCTGCTCACGTGAAACTACCCTGGGTCGGGGTAAATACCCATTTTATAAATACCTACCCGCCGGGTATTTACCCAGCGCCCATCACTGGTTTAATGTAATCTCTGTCTGAAGATGCAGGGCTAACTCAACCCGGAATTTACAAGTCACCCTCTGCTTCATGCCCAACCCGACATTTGAAAATTTAGCACTGGTTTAAATGTTAATTAACCTAACTCAAAGTGGAATTTCTACAGAAAATTCTGAAATAAATTAGTAAATAAGGTGAATCCGAATGTAACGTTTAAAGAGGGGGTCCTACACCCCTCTAAAAAGATATGTCGCATCTGGGTGACAAAGAATTAAGTGTTGTTCCAGCAATTTTTAAATCTGTAATGGAAAGGACGCAGAAAGATATCACTCAACAGAAGAATAGTTTCAGTAAACACTTTTCAGCCAGTAGTATTGTAGTATCCAAGCACTTAGTAGTGTTTTGGTAGCAGTATATAGGCTTCTGAAAGCATTAAATAGTCTTTGTCAACAATATTTAGTTTTCTCCAAGCAATTAGTAGTCGTTCCTACAATATTTAGCATTCTGAAAGCAGTTAATAGTCTTTGAAAACAGTATCTAGTCTTTCCAAACAGATAATAGTTTCTCTCAGCAGTATTTAGTCTTCTCCAAGCAGCTTGTAATCTTTTCCACCAGTATCTAGCATTTTGGAAGCAGTAGGTACCGTTTTTGGAGAGCATATCTCTTCTTTCCAAGTAGTTATTAATCTTTTCCAGTAGTATTTACCATTCTGGCAGAATTAGGTACCTTTTTGGGAAGCATATCTCTTCTTTCCAAGCAGTTATTAGTCTTTTCCAGCTGTATCTAACATTCTGGAAGAGATATGCTTAACCTTTTTGGAAAGCATATCTCTTTTCCAAACAATTTTTAAAGTATTTGAAAGCAATAAGTGGTCTTGGAAGCAGTATTCCGCCTGTCCAAGTAAGTCGAAACCTTTAACAACAGTGTTTAGCGTTCTGGAAGCTATAGGTATTATTTTGAAAACAGTATCTGGTCTTTTCCAAGTAAGTTGTGGTCTTTTTCTGCAGTATCTAGCATTTTAAAAGCAGTAGGTAACAGTTTTGAAATAGTATTTTCTCTTTCCAATCAATTTTTAGTCTTTTACTAGCAGTATTTAAGCAATAATTAGTCTTTTGCCAACAGTATCTAGCATTCAGGAACCAATAAGTTAAAAATTATCTTTAATTTATAGATGGTAAACAACTTTAGATATAAAGATAAAATAGAAAAATAATTTTTACAATTAATGATTCTTATCTACCGAGAAAGTTACATTTTGCAATTTTTTAATAATCACGTCTTATAATCTATAATATAGATAAAGTAATTTAATAAAAATACAATTAAAAATGTTTGTGTTTTTTTAACAACTTAAAGACGCGATTGTGATGATGTAATTTGCTATTTTAGAATAAATTAGAACCCAAAAATAACATAAAACGTCGTTCATTATTACCTTTTTAACTTCAGAGAAGACGATTTGAATAAAAAACATGATTTTTTCTTACCTGAATGACCCAAAATAAAACGCAACAAAAATTGACGTAAACACCAAGTGACAGTTCACATATAACCTTACTTTTTCAAATATAAATTATTTTAAAATCCTAATTCTTTAATTTTTTTAAATTTTAAATAAATTATGTCTTGATTGTTTAAAATAAATTAAAACTTTAAATAAAATCGTTTTAAATATAAAATAATATTTATAATTAAAAGAAATAATATCATATAGGCAACCCAAATTACATATATATCACAATTTCATTATTTATAATTAATTAAACTTTAATTTGTAATTTTACCTCTAAAAAACAATTTTTGTTGCTTAAATATCAATGATATTTCTTATATTGAATAAAATTTCAATAAAAATTTAAAAACTAAAAATTTTTAATATATGCAACCCACATAACGTTTCATTATCGTTTATTTTGACATTCATCTATCACCCTCTGAGTTTCATTCGTTGTCAACTAAACCAAAATTCAAACAACCTGATGAATGATTTAAAGTAATTCAATAAAATGTATTGATTAACGAGCACCGTCAGTTGAATTGTCGCGTAGTTTCGTTATAATCAGTGCCTTTATTATGTGATAATTGAAAAGGAAAGAAAATGTTTCGAAGGAATAAAAAGGAACACAAAGCCAAATTAGAACACAAACTCTATTTGGTAAGTTGTTTGTTGGTGCTAATTAACTCCTAATGTTTGTTGTATTAATACGAAAAAAATTATTAGGCTCGTGAAACCCCAGAACCAATATTTGATTTATCCGAATGCGGCTTAGATGCCGTTCCTTCAGGGATATATTCATTGTGTCGAGTTTTTTTGAAGGAATACTTAAAACTGGAGAATAATAATTTGTCGTCGTTAAGTGGAGGAGGAAATTTGCAAGATTTGTCCGGCTTAAAACTATTAGATATTCATTGTAATGAATTTACGGAATTACCGAATCAAATAGAGTGGCTGACTAATCTAAAGGTACTTAATTTGGAGTTATTAATACAAATTTAATAATTTTGTGTTGTTAAATAGGTGTTATATGCCAACAATAACCATATAAAGAAGCTACCTGCATCATTGTGCAATTTAATAAATTTACAAATACTAGATCTTTCAAACAACAAGTTACAAATGCTGCCGGATAATTTGGGAAATTTAAAACAATTAAAAGAATTACATTTAAATGGAAATAAACACTTGAAAAAGCTCCCCAAGACTACATGTCAGTTAAAAAGTTTAATTAAATTAGAATTGGATATTCCACATTATATTTATCCACCTCAACATATTCTAAATATAGGGCTTAAGGAAATCATGGACTATATTCATGCTGGTATTTGTTTTAATTTAATGTTTTTAGAATTGTTGTATTCTTTTATTTCATTATTCTAGATAATGATTGTTCATGTGACAAAAATAAACTTGTATCAAGTAATCCCGCCTTAGAAGATAACAAATGTGATGATTATCTTAATTTGGATGAATTAAATTTTCAGGTAAGGATATTGATAAATTCCAAATCTAAAACTACTATCCATGTCAAAAGTCAAAGTTCCTAAATTTAGAGGCAAATTTGAAAAAAAGATGGTTGTAAAGTTTGTTGTAAGCATTAAGAGTTAAATGGAAAAGTATTTGATTTTTAAGAATGTAGGTAACTTTGTCCACATTGTGATTTTTTTTCTTAAAAACTAATCGACGAAAATATTTCAATTTTGAACAGGTGGTAGGCATAGAAAAATTTATATATATTATGTATATAGAAGGTCATCTCCCCACTATTTTTTGAAACATTCAGCCCTCCCAAGGGGATTGTGAAGGAACTAATTAGGTTAAAGCGCGAAATTTAAATATAGGTATTTCTATACCGGTTTATACCAATACTTTATTTTGAAGAGATATATATACATTTTACAAATGAATGCAAAAAAATATGAATTTAAAGTTTTTCCAAGATAAAATTCATAATTTTAAATATAATATATAAATTGGCGGTCTTAGCCAATGAGAGCGTTAAAACCGTTGTAACCATGGTAATTATCTATCGGTTAAATTTATCAAGAGGTGGTAAAAGTGGGCCTAAGGCTCGTTACTACCATCTTCTGGTTAAGCTATCTAAGGGATTATTGCTACGGTTACAGCTATTTCACGCGCTCTGATTGGCTAGTAGATGGGTTTATCTATAAGATAAATTTAACTAAAAGATGGTAGTAATGGACCTTAGGCTCGTTACTACCATCTTCTGGTTAAGCTATCTAAGGGATTATTACTATGGTTACGGCTATTTCACGCACTCTGATTGGCTAGTAGATAGGTTTATCTATAAGATAAATTTAACTAAAAGATGGTAGTAATGGACCTAAGGCTCGTTACTACCATCTTTTGGTTAAGCTATCTAAGGGATTATTACTATGGTAACGGCTATTTCACGCGCTCTGATTGGCTAGTAGATGGGTTTATCTATAAGATAAATTTAACTAAAAAATGGTAGTAATGGACCTAAAAGCGCCAATTTATCTATAAGATAAAGTTATGAAGAGGTGGTAAAAGTGGCCCTAGTTTATTTAAACAGTTAACTAAAGGATATAAAACACTAAGCCAAAGGAAAGTAAGAAAGAATATTTGCTTATACAACGGGGTTATCATCAGTTATCACACCAAACGACAAAACAAAAATGTGACGTTTGCTTTCACCTTTGAAGCCTTTGAGTTTGACGTTACAGATAAATATTTCTATGGTTACAAGCGCTTTGTTTGTGTAGATAACGCAGATTGCTACAAATTCAGTCTACAACGTCATCCAATGGATTGTGAGGGTACTAAACCCTAGGTCTACATTTTTATAGTAGTAAGATTGCGCACCATGGTGGTAGGCTGAAATGTTTTTAATGTGGAGCATATTTTATTTTTACTGTATTTCGTATAATTTGGCGAAAAATCGCTGTTTAGTAAGAAGCTATTATGTCTAAAACGGCTGGGTGGATTTCAACGCGCTTAAAAAATGGATAACCATTAAAATGATGCTGCAAAAGATTGCTGAAGGGGTAGTCAAAACTGTAGGAGGAGCAAAGAGGAATGACTGATATGATGAGGAATGCAAGGAGACTATTGACAAAAGAAACAAGACACGAGAAAGAATGATACACTGACCGACAAGACGTCTAGCAGAAGAATTCAATAGACTGAGAAGAGGAGCAAATTACATTTGCAGACGGATAAAGCGGAAAAATCTATGCAGAACAGCCTAAGCAAGCCATGTGTAGACGCGTGGATGGTGAGATATTGGTAAATATGGGTCAGGTGGATACATAGAAGCAATATTTTGAAGATCCAAGCCACAGAAACAACGGTAGAAAAAGTTCAAATGATACAATCCCAAATAAATGAATCGAGCTTGGAGAAGATAAACGACAGCATTAAAATGCTAAAATATACAGGATGTCTCACGTAACTGGTTCATTAGAACTTTTTCATGTTCCACTATTTGTAGAGATTTGAAATTTTGGTAGCCGGCACTTCCGGTCTACCGGAAGTAGACCATAACTTCGCTATTTTGAATGGAATACTATAGTTTTTATTACACAGTTTAATTGTACGTAAAAAAAATAGGTTGACTTTGACAAAACTTATTGGTACCTAGCGTTTTCGAGTTATTTTGGTTTTAAACTTTTTTTGGTAAATTTCAACATGCTCTTTAAAACTCCATATTTCAGCCAAAGTTCATTCAAAAAAAATCTACTTTGCCACAATTACTCTTCAGATGTTGTCAAATAGATTGCCATTTGTTGTATTGGAGTATCTTATACAGGATGGTCAAAAATTGAATTACTGTTTCTCCATATTCAATGGCGAGAAAGTCGAAAATTTTAAATGGAACCCCCCATATTTTTTTTAGCCTATCAGAAAGAGAATTTAATTCTCTACAAATTATCTATAAACATTCCCATACCTATTTATTGTAGTTTGCCTCATATTGCGAAATTTATTAAAACATGCACGAAATGCAGGTTTTTTTTATTAGAACGCTATGGAATTTTGACAGTTTTTGGTCCATGTTTGTATTATTGTTGCCATTAGTTACATTTGACGACGGGTGTAAGTCATTGAACATCATGGTAAATTATTCCAACGCCGATATTTGAAATTTATTTTGTATTGATGGCGAATGTAATAAACTTTTGAATAGGACGTGTCGAACACTTAATGAGAGATGCCTAACAAACCCAACGCTCATCACAAGGAAAAATTTCAAAAAATTGGTAAAGAATTTATTAGTTCTGGATATATTGAGACCAAAAGAAATCGCATATTTCCGGTCACCAGTGATGAAGATAACGAAATAAATAATTTAACGCATTTTATTGCATTTCCAAATTCAATTTAATAACAAATTTATATTATAAATTTATATTTTTATTCAAATCTCATTTTTGTCACTAACTTTTTGTTTTAATATAAAAAAAATACAAACGGTTCCCTGCATTTCCCGCATGTTTTGATAAATTTACGAATATGAGAGAAACTACAATAAATAAGTATAGGAATGTTTATAGATAAATTGTAAAGAATTAAATTCCCTTTCGTGTAGGCTAATAAAATATGGGGCGTTCCATTTAAAATTTTCGACTTTCTCCCCATTGAATATGGAGAAACGGTAATTCAATTTTTGACCATCCTGTATAAGATACTCTGATATAATATATAACAATTAATTTGAGAGCATCTGAAGAGTAATCGTGCCTATTTAGAGCTTTTTTGAATGAACGTTGGCTGGGATATAGGGTTTTAAAGAGCATGGTCAAATTTGCCAAAAAACCTTAAAATCAAAATAACTCGAAAACGAAAAATGCTAGGTACCGATAACTTTTATGAAAGTCAACATATTTTTTTACGTACAATTAAAAGGTGCAATAAAAACTATAGCATTCCATTTAAAATAACGAAGTTATGGTCTACTGCCGGTAGACCGGAAGTGGCAGCCATCTTGAAAATATTTTAGATCGACAGTTCCGACTGAACAACCCATACTACCAAAATTTCAAAACTGTACGAATACTGGAACCTAAAAAAGTTCTAACGAACCCGTTACGTGAGACACCTGTAGATATACAGTGTTCGCCAAAAAGTCAGCAACACCCGTTTCATTTCTGTTCCGTTGCATCTACGTTTATGAAATTTAGTTTATATAGGAGGTTCATACCGATCTTTCGATCTAAAATATTTTCAAGATGGTGGCCACTTCCGGTCCTCCGGAAGTAGACCACAACTTCGTTATTTTAAATGGAATGCTATAGTTTTTATTGCACCTTTTAATTATATGCGAAAAAATAAGTTGAGTTTGATAAAGGTTATTGGTACCTAGCGTTTTTCGCTTTCGAGTTATTTTGATTTTAAGGTTTTCTTGGCAATTTTCACCATCCCCTTTAAAACTCCATATCTCAGCAAACGTTCATTCAAAAAAGATTTAAATTGGCACGATTACTCTTCAAATGCTGTCAAATAGATTGTCATTTGTTGTATCATAGTATCTTATACAGGCTGGTCAAAAAGTGAATTACCTTTTTTCCGCATTCAATGGCAAGAAAGTTGAAAATTTTAAATGGTACGTCCCATATTTTATTAGCTCACCAGAAAGGGAGTTTGCCATTTATTAGGCCATGATATTTTGACAGTTTTTCGTTTAATTTATTTTTACAATTAACTTTGGTTGATAATCTTTTAGTTTACTATCTTTGATTTACTAACAATAACAAATAGAAGAACAAATAAATGAAACAATGAAAATAAAAATTAAGTTTGGATAAAAAATTTAATTCTCTCTCTGGTAGGTTAAAAAAATATAGGTGTCCCATTTAAAATTCTCAGCTTTCTTGGTCTTGAATAGGGAGAAATGATAATTCAATTTTTGACCATCCTGTATAAGATACAACAAATGAACAATCTATTTGATATCATCTGAAGAGTAATCATACCAAGTTAGAGCTTTCTTGAATGAATATTGACTGAGATATGGGGTTTTAAAAGCATGGTGAAATTTACCAAACAAAAACTTAAAATCAAAATAACTCGAAGGTACCAGTAACATTTATCAAAGTCAACATATTTTTTCGCATACAATTAAAAGGTGCAATAAAAATTATAGCATTCCATTTAAAATAACGAAGTTGAGGTCTACTTCCGGGGGACCGGAAGTAGGACCATCTTGAAAATACCTTAGATCGAAAGATCGGTATGAGTATCCTATATAAGCTAAATTTTAGAAATGGAACAGAAATAAAACGGGTATTGCTGACTTTTTTGAGGACCCTGTTTTTCACAGTGCAAAGTAAGCAGTTCTCAACACCGGCCCTGACACATTGCCATCCAAAATGCGCAACACAAAAATGTTGCTGCTCAGCTTTCCGCAAAGTATACTTACATGCTGCTACCATTTAAATGTGGGGTCAATGTGAGGTGTAAAGACAGCTTCAGTTGTTTTGTTGGAATTCAGATTTAGGCCATTGTACGGAAACCACTCCTCAGCCTCAAAGCGCGACGCCCGATTCACTATCAATGAGGATTTTATGCCTGCTGATTAAAGTAGTGTCGTCAGTGTAGAATATGATTGAAGGCTTAGATATTGAAGCAGGAAAGTCATTTATGTAAATAAGGAAAAGCAGTGGCCCCAACACTGACCCTTGTGGAACTCCAATAAAAATGCACTCTGATATAGAATAGCTATCATTACAACAGACTATTTGTCTTCTACCACTAAAGTACGATTGAATCATCTTAATACTACTGTCACCAAAGTTATATTTGCTCAGCTTCTTTATTATGGCTCACACACTCAAAGGCCTTGCTGAAGTCGCAGAATGTAGCTGTCATATACTCGCCTCTCTCATAACAGTCTATTTCCTGTTGTACAAAATCCATAATCGCGTGCTAAGATTCTGACGCAATCCGTATTGACATGACGCGAACAAGTTATTATTTTCAAAGAAATCGACAATTCTACTCCTTATGATTTTTTCAAAATTTTTTGAGAATATTGGCTGGAATGAGATTGGAAGATAATTTTCTATTACAACAGGATCGCCTTTCTTAAAGACCAATGCTGTGTTTTCTCATGCATTGGTTGATTGATTTTGTTAAAGGCGATGATATTATATCTTTTATCAGCGTTGATATTATAGTATTTAATCCGTATTTAGTAGAAGAAGCATTTTTTAAAGAATATATTATATTACGAACCTCAATTAAACCGACCAGCTCTAGGCAAAGTTTCTCAGGTTGTAGAGTGATATTCAATAATATATATATATTAATATAGCAGTACAGAAGGTCATTAATGAGTTGCAAAGAGACAAGAATGGAACTATTATGTAGAAAGAGACACAATTAACTGTATACGCAGATGATATCGTTCTAATGAGACGATTCAAAGAAGGAAATGAAAGAAAACTGGCAGGGAATACACATAGTGTAGGGTTACATATAAATATAGATAAAACTAAATTGATGGGCCTGAACACATTACACAGGCTAGGACAAAACTGGACTAATTGTGGATGATAACATTGAAGTAGTGCTGAGTTATACCTACATAGGAAGCGTGGTAAATGACACCAATGACACCATACAGGTTTCGGGGGTTCACAGGTTCTGGTGTTGGGTCCTATTGTTGGAGAATCTCCAAGTCTCCGTCTTCTTCATCACTCTCCCTGGCTAAACCCACTAATTCTCCGAAATACTTTGCGCAGCGTTCTGTAACTTTACCACCTCCGCCATCAAATTGCCATCTTTGTCAAAAACCATTGTTGCACGAGCTATAGTCTCCGTCATCTCCCTTTTCAAAAAGGGCGACCCATCATTAATAACTAATTACAGACCAGTAATGTTTTTTGACCTATCTATGGCATTCGACACATTACATCACCAACTACTCTTACAAAAATTAAATCGGTATGGTATCAGAGGCCCTACCTTGGCCTGGATTGAAAGTTATCTAACTGACAAACAACAATTAGTAAAGTCGTCACAAAACAATAGTGCAGGGAGTTTCTTCCTATAAGAAATGGAGTTCCGCAAGGAAGCATATTACCACCATTACTATTTATGTAAATGTACATAAATGATGTGCCATTATCTTGTGAGAATTGTAGGCAAGTATTATTTGCTGAAGATCGCTCTGTTGCAATAAGGGCTGATTCAGTCTAGCAGTTGTCGATGAGGATCACACTCGTCATTCGCTCAACATTTTTGCTTTGGTTTGGTTTCTGGATCTAATGGCCACTCATCATCATCAAACCATTGTTCTCTTCTTTGTGGTTCCTTAAAGCTAACTGCTGCTTTCTGAACCATTCTTGCTCCACATCATCTTTTTTCCAGTTTTATCATTCGTCATCGCTATCTTCCGTAAGAGCGTGCACTCCTTGCACTCCTACAGTCCTTTTTGTAAACAAAAGTTATTTCCGGGTATCCATCGAATTTCCAAGGCTTGGTTGGTTGTTTGCGTTTTATTACGCGAATCTACGCACAACTCCCATCCTGGAGAACCAAGGTTTAGATTTCGAAGTGTCCACAAGGAGCTCTATTCACCCCACCTATCGATCTAAACAAGATTCACATCGATGAGGGTATTCCCCTCTACAGCTTTGACTTTGACACGGATAATAATAATCGTTTAACGCACAAGAAAACGTGCGCAAAATGATTAATAAAACGTTATGATTAATAAAAAAAATTCTGAAAAACGAACTTTTATTGTTAGATGTACCCAAAATAGCTCAAAATCTAATATAGCTTTTTTTTTCTTTTATTTCTAGGCTAAAATGTGGCAGCTTGAAAAAATAAAGGCATGTTTTAATTTTATTTATTTTTTTCGCATTTTTTGCACCAGTTCAGTTATAAACGTAATAATTAATTAATTTCTTTTCAATTGTTGTTGCCTTGCTTAATCCTTTACGTAACGTTTACTTAAAACAATTTAAAAAAAAATGTGTTAATAAATATTTTCAGGAACAAAAACGTTTCGAATTCCTCGAAATCGAGCGTCAAAACGATTTGATGCAAAAACAAGAATTGGAGTTGGCTAATGCGATGAAAATCGACAAGAAAAAAGTAAATTTAATTAATAATTAAATATAAATATAATAAGTATTTTTTTTGTAGTTATTAGAAGATATAACGGAACAACAAAATAAATTAGATCACCAATTAATAAAGATTCATAATGAAAGAGAAATCGATCGGTTTCGTTTAATGGAACAACTCCACGATGTCGAAGAAAACGCAGATGTTGCAATAAATAAATTATTAACGTCTAACCGAGAACCATTGGCGTATCTTATAGAACAAGAACAAGTTTTCGAGGAAAAAATGTTACAAGCAGCTCTAGAATCCAACAGCCAATTGTTGTGCAAACAAGATATTTTAAGTGCCATGCAAGAACTTATCGAATACGAAACTGCCAAATTCCAAGAGTTTTCTAGTAACAAAAATGAAATTACTCGAAGTATTTTAGAAGAGTAAATTTAATCCTTTTTATTGACTTTATTTAGTAACGATTCATTTTAGGGAATTGAAAAACAATCAACATTTAACGGATTTATTGGAATCGCAAAATTTAAGACAATCAGAATTAGTTGACACCTTACAAAACGATAGCGAATTACAAAAAGCAGCCGTTGGGACTTTATTGGAGAAAAGCGATGCGAGAATTTGGGGTTTGGTACAACAAGTTCGTCTGGTTGAGTCTCAATTGGCCGCTTTAACTTCAATTGAATTAGATAGAAAGAAATTAAAAATTGACAAACAAATTGTAAGTTTATTAAAAGTAAGGATGGGAATATCTAAAAGGACTACTACATCTTTTGTAATCCAGCACATAAATATAAACATTCGATATTATTGGCAGGCAATAATAACATTACTAATAAATTTTAATATTAAAAAACAGATAAATAAAAACCTAAAATATACCTATAAAAACTCGAAACTTTCTAGTTCTAAGAGTAGAACTAACACTAGAAACATTCGGCTTTTCAGTCCTTTGACAGTTCTTGGAAAGTTTCAAAATCCTTGACGTTTCTTGGAAATTATCAGGAAATGCATGGAAATATGTTAAAAACCTTGTAGACGTATTTAAGACATGAAGTCTTAAAATTGAAATTAATTGCCGCTAAATTTTAAAATCCCTTTTAACAATTCTTGGAAATCCTCGAAAATACTTAAAAATCTCCCAATTTCTTAGGAAAGGTTCGGAAATTTATTGGCAATGGTCGTCACGTTCTTGGAAATGGTTTAAAACTCTTTGTTAATCCTGATTCATCTCAAATAAGTCCCTGGAGCCCTTTTACAGTTTTTGGAAACTTTCAAAACACTTGTGGTTTCCTGGAAATTATCAGGAAATGCATGGAATTATGTTAATAACCTTATAGATATCGTTTGAAGTCTTAAAATTGATATTTATTTCCGCTAAATTTTAAAATCCCTTTTGACAGTTCTTGGAAATCCTCGGAAATACTTAAAAATTTCTTAGTTTCTTAGGAAATATTCGGAAATTTATTGGCAGTGGTCGTCACGTTCTTGGAAATGGTTTAAAACTCTTTGTTAATCCTGATTCATCTCAAATAAGTCCCTGGAGCCCTTTTACAGTTTTTGGAAACTTTCAAAATACTTGAGGTTTCCTGGAAATTATCAGGAAATGCATGGAATTATGTTAATAACCTTATAGATATCGTTTGAAGTCTTAAAATTGATATTTATTTCCGCTAAATTTTAAAATCCCTTTTGACAGTTCTTGGAAATCCTCGGAAATACTTAAAAATTTCTTAGTTTCTTAGGAAATATTCGGAAATTTATTGGCAGTGGTCGTCACGTTCTTGGAAATGGTTTAAAACTCTTTGTTAATCCTGATTCATCTCAAATAAGTCCCTGGAGCCCTTTTACAGTTTTTGGAAACTTTCAAAATACTTGAGGTTTCCTGGAAATTATCAGGAAATGCATGGAATTATGTTAATAACCTTATAGATATCGTTTGAAGTCTTAAAATTGATATTTATTTCCGCTAAATTTTAAAATCCCTTTTGACAGTTCTTGGAAATCCTCGGAAATACTTAAAAATTTCTTAGTTTCTTAGGAAATATTCGGAAATTTATTGGCAGTGGTCGTCACGTTCTTGGAAATGGTTTAAAACTCTTTGTTAATCCTGATTCATCTCAAATAAGTTCCTGGAGCCCTTTGACAGTTTTTGGAAACTTTCAAAATACTTGACGTTTCTTGGAAATTATCAGGAAATGCATGGAAATATGTTAAAAACCTTATAGATATCGTCTGAAGTCTTAAAGTTGAAATTAATTGCCGCTAAATTTTAAAATCCCTTTTGACAGTTCTTGGAAATCCTCGGAAATACTTAAAAAAATTTCAATTTCTTAGGAAAGGTTCGTAAATTTGTGGCAATGCTCGTCACGTTCTTGGAAATGGTTTAAAACTCTTTGTTAATCCTGATTCATCTCAAATAAATCCCTAGAGCCCTGTGACAGTTTTTGGAAACTTTCAAAATCCTTGACGTTTCTTGAAAATTATCAGGAAGTGCATAGAAACATGTTAAAAACCTTATAGATATCGTCTGAAGTCTTAAAATTGAAATTTATTGCCGCTAAATTTTAAAATCCCTTTTGACAGTTCTTGGAAATCCTCGGAAATACTTAAAAAATTTTCAATTTCTTAGGAAAGGTTCGGAAATTTATTGGCAATGGTCGTCAAGTTCTTGGAAATGGTTTAAAACTCTTTGTTTATCCTGATTCATCTCAAATAAGTTCCTGCAGCCCTTTGACAGTTTTTGGAAACTTTCAAAATCCTTGATGTTTCCTTGGAATTAGCAGGAAATGTATGGAAATATTTTAAAAACCTTATAGATATCATCTGAAGTCTTAAAATTGAAATACATTGCCGCTAAATTTTAAAATCCCTTTTGACAGTTCTTGGAAATCCTCGGAAATACTTAAAAATCTCTCAATTTCTTAGGAAAAGTTCGGAAATTTGTGGCAATGGTCGTCACGTTCTTGGAAATAGTTTAAAACTCTTTATTAATCCTGATTCATCTCAAATAAGTTCCTGGAGCCCTTTGACAGTATTTGGAAACTTTCAAAATACTTGATGTTTCTTAGAAATTATCAGGAAATGCATGGAAATATGTTAAAAACCTTATAGATATAGTCTGAAGTTTTAAAATTGAAATTTATTGCCGCTAAATGTTATAATCCCTTTTGACAGTTCTTGGAAATCCTCGGAAATACTTAAAAATCAATCAATCTCTTAGGAAAACTTCAGAAATTTATAGGCAATGGTCGTCACGTTCTTGGAAGTGGTTTAAAACTCTTTGTTAATCCTGAATCATCTCAAATAAGTTCCTGGAGCCCTTTGACAGTTTTTGGAAACTTTCAAAATACTTGACGTTTCTTGGAAATTATCAGGAAATGCATGGAAATATGTTAAAAACCTTATAGATATCGTCTGAAGTCTTAAAATTGAAATTTATTGCCGCTAAATTTTAAAATCCCTTTTGACAGTTCTTGGAAATCCTCGGAAATACTTAAAAAATTTTCAATTTCTTAGGAAAGGTTCGGAAATTTATTGGCAATGGTCGTCAAGTTCTTGGAAATGGTTTAAAACTCTTTGTTTATCCTGATTCATCTCAAATAAGTTCCTGCAGCCCTTTGACAGTTTTTGGAAACTTTCAAAATCCTTGATGTTTCCTTGGAATTAGCAGGAAATGTATGGAAATATTTTAAAAACCTTATAGATATCATCTGAAGTCTTAAAATTGAAATACATTGCCGCTAAATTTTAAAATCCCTTTTGACAGTTCTTGGAAATCCTCGGAAATACTTAAAAATCTCTCAATTTCTTAGGAAAAGTTCGGAAATTTGTGGCAATGGTCGTCACGTTCTTGGAAATAGTTTAAAACTCTTTATTAATCCTGATTCATCTCAAATAAGTTCCTGGAGCCCTTTGACAGTATTTGGAAACTTTCAAAATACTTGATGTTTCTTAGAAATTATCAGGAAATGCATGGAAATATGTTAAAAACCTTATAGATATAGTCTGAAGTTTTAAAATTGAAATTTATTGCCGCTAAATGTTATAATCCCTTTTGACAGTTCTTGGAAATCCTCGGAAATACTTAAAAATCAATCAATCTCTTAGGAAAACTTCAGAAATTTATAGGCAATGGTCGTCACGTTCTTGGAAGTGGTTTAAAACTCTTTGTTAATCCTGAATCATCTCAAATAAGTTCCTGGAGCCCTTTGACAGTTTTTGGAAACTTTCAAAATACTTGACGTTTCTTGGAAATTATCAGGAAATGCATGGAAATATGTTAAAAACCTAATAGATATCCTCTGAAGTCTTAAAATTGAAATACATTGCCGCTGAATTTTAAAATCCCTTTTGACAGTTCTTGGATATCCTCGGAAATACTTAAAAATCTCTCAATTTGTTAGGAAGTGTCCGGAATTTATTGGCAATAGTCGTCACGTTCTTGGAAATGGTTTAAAACTCTATTAATCCTGATTCATCTCAAATAAGTTCCTGGAGCCCTTTGACAGTTTTTGGAAACTATCAAAATACTTGACGTTTCTTAGAAATTAGCAGGAAATGCATGGAAAGATCTTAAAAACCTTATAGATATCGTTTGAAGTCTTAAAATTGAAATTAATTGCAGCTAAATTTTAAAATCCTTTTTGACAATTCTTGGAAATCCTCGGAAATACTTATAAATCTCTCAATTTGTTAAGAAAGGTTCGGAAATTTATTGACAATGGTCGTCACGGTCTTGGATATGGTTTAAAACTCTTTGTTAATCCTGATACATCTTAAATAAGTTCCTGGAGCCCTTTTACAGTTTTTAGAAACTTTCAAAATCCTTGCCTTTTCTTGGAAATAATCAAGAAATGCATGGAAATATGTTAAAAACCTTATAGATATCGTCTGAAGGCTTAAAATTGAAATTTATTGGCGCTAAATCCCTTTTGACAGTTTTTGGAAATCCTCCGAACACCGTTGCTATCGGCGAGTTGAGAGTGCAAAAAAATTGTAGTTCTTGAGGCAAATTGAAAAAGTACACAGACCCTGATTGCAACTAGATGCTGCACAATTGCCAAGTAAATTTAATAAATGAGCTGCACGTGGTATAAATTCCTAACATATTCCTGGCATTATCATCTGATTGGCCACTACAATTGGATATAAGTATATCTAATTCTGAAAGTGTGTCTAGTATGGTTCTTGTCAATTCTTCTGCTTTGTCACCAGTAATTGGTAGTGAAAATAAAAATCTTTCCACAGGTTTACCATTCTTTTGCACATACCTTATTACGAAGGACAATTGATCCACATACGCCAAATCTGGTGAAGAATCAACAATTATTGAAAAATATTTGGATGCTTTAACTTCATCGACTATAATTCTTCTAGATTCTTTAGTGAATAATGCCACAAATTCCTCATAAATTGTTGAGCTTATGTAGTTTGTTCGACCAGAGCCAGGATTCTTATATTTTTTCACTTTTTCACAACTGAAATTACTTTTCGTAATATTTTTCTCCAATAGATAATTTACTTATCAATTTGCGAAAATAGCATTTTATTCATATTTCCAATCTGTGAACCTCTCAATTTGAAATCTAACATTGATGACTTGTTCGAATAAGATGATTCGTGGTTCAACGCGAATATTTGTGTTTTTTCAATCGTCAAACCCAGTAGTTGGAAAGTATGTATCTCGACTCGTACTTTCTGAGTATAGTCAAGTTCTTTGCGTTTGTTCACCGTTTACTAATTTTCTAGTAAATTGCTAGACATTGCAGTTGATGCTGATTCGTAGCTTTCACCTTCTTCAACTTTTAGAGAAACAGCTTGCTCTTGCTCGTCAAAAAGAATAACTTCGTGCACAGCTACTACAGTTTCCTTACATTCATTAATTGCAGGGCATCTTTTAAAAAATGTGTCGTTTTTTTTAAACTTTTAATGACTTCTTGTTGTTTTCGTTTTTCTTCAGCGATTTTTTTATACTGGACTCCGTTTAACTGCTTTCTGCGATCCGACATTTTTTTGTTTGCTATTAAAAAAGGAACCTCTAGGAATTTTCGATTATAGAATAATAATAATGAACTTACTTTAATTTTAGTTTTACAACATACACTTTCACAATTCACAACGTGTGATTTATTTCTTGAAAAAATGAAATGTAATAAAATGTAAATATAAATCATTAGCTCTAGGCTATAGCCTTTTCAGCCTATTGAAAGATTCTAGTTCTAGGTGTAGTGTAGGTCTAGGCTAGTAAAAGACTAAAAACTGCTTGGAAAGAGGAAATACTATTTCAAAAAGTTACCTACTGCTTCTAAAATGCTAGATACTGCAAAAAAAGACTACAACTTACTTGGAAAAGACTAGATAATGTTTTCAAAATAATACCTATTGCTTCCAAAACGCTAAACACTGCTGTTAAAGATTTTGACCTACTTGGACAGGCAGAATACTGCTTCCAAGAACACTTATTGCTTTCAAAGACTTTAATAATTGTTTGGAAAAGAAATATGCTTTCCAAAAAGCTACCTACCGCTTCCAGAATGTTAGATATTGCTGGAGAAGACTAATAACTGCTGGGAAAGAAGAGATATGCTTCCCAAAAGGCTACCTAATGCTGCCAGAGTGCTAAATACTATTGGAAAAGACTAATAACTACTTGGAAAGAAGATATATGATTTCCAAAAAAAGTACTTACTGCTTCTAAAATGCTAGATACTGGTTGAAAAGATTACAATCTGCTTGGAGAAGACTAGACAGTGCTAACAAACATCTACAAACTGATTGGAAAGATGAGATACTGCTTCCATAGGACTACTTACTGCTTTCAGAGCGCTATGTACTATTAGAAAAGATTACAACCTGCTTGGAGAAGACTAAATACCGCTGGGAGAAACTATTATCTGCTTGGAAAGACAAGATACTGTTTTTAAAAGACTATTAACTACTTTCAGAATGTTAAATATTGTTGGAAAGACTATCTAATGATTTCAGAACACTGTATACTGCTGTCAAAACATTACCAAGTGTTTGGAGATTACAATACTACTGGCTGAAAACTATTTACTGAAACTATTCTTCTGTTGAGTAATATCTTTCTGCGTCCCTTCCATTACATATAAAAATTGCTGCTAAGAAGAGATATGCTGCCCAAAAAGCTACCTAATACTGCCAGAATGCTAAATACTACTGGAAAAGACTAATAACTACTTGCAAAGAAAAGATATGCTCTTCAAAAAAGGTACCTACTGCTTCCAAAATGCTAGGTACTGGTGGAAAAGATTACAATCTGCTTGGAGAAGACTATATAGTGCTAACAAACAACTACAAAACTGATTGGAAAGACGAAATACTGCTTCCATAAGACTACTTCCTGCTTTCAGAGCGCTATATACTACTAGAAAAGATTACAACCTGCTTGGAGAAGACTAAATACCGCTGGGAGAAACTATTATCTGTTTGGAAAGACAAGATACTGTTTTTAAAAGACTCTTAACTACGTTCAGAATGCTAAATATTGTTGGAAAGACTACTAATTGCTTGGAGAAAGCTAGATATTGTTGACAAAGACTATTTAATGCTTTCAGAACACTGTATACTGCTGCCAAAACACTACTAAGTGCTTGGAGATTACAATACTACTCGCTGAAAACTATTTATTGAAACTATTCTTCTGTTAAGTCATATCTTTTGCGTCCCTTTCATTACAGATTTAAAAATTGCTGCTACAACACTCGGTTCTTTGTCACCCAGATGCGACTTATCCTTTTTAAACGTTACTTACATTCGGATCCACCTAATTTACTGATTTATTTCAGAATTTTGTGTAGAAATTCCACTTTGAGTTAGGCTAAACCTACTTTCTAGTTCTAGGTGTAGTGTTAGTTCTAGTTTTGCACTGGCACTATTACTAGATCTAACACAAGACCTAGAACTAGAATCATTCGGGTTTAGCCGTCTTGAGACATGTGCGGCTAAATCCGAATGTTTCTAGTTCTAGGTCTAGTGTTAGTTCTAGTTTTTATCGTTATTTAGCACTAATTGTTGTATATTTTTATAGAACTAAAACTAACACTAGACTTAGAACTAGAAAGCTTTGGAGTAAACCCAAAACTTTTTAGTTCTAGGTCTAGTGTCAGTTCTAGTTTTAATCGTTATTTAGCGCTAGATTGTTGTATATTTTTATTAAGTACACCTAGAATCATTCAGCTTTAGCCGTTTTAATAGACACACAGCTAAACTCAATCAAAATTTTTCTTTCATATTATGACCCTTATCAAGTAGGAAAAAATTAAGCACTTACAAATTCAAAGTGATAGCAGTTCTTTTAGATTTTACCTTCCATCCTTGATTAAAAAAACATTTTTAGATTATATAGATTTATTTATATTTTAGAATGATTTAGCGGAAAAAAGATGTAACCTCTCTTTATTATTAATGCAACTTCTTGAAGAACAAAACGTAAGAAGAACTCAATTATTATCAACGATAAAAACGTTAGAATTGAATACTGATAATTCTGAAGATTATTGGTTGAGACAATACCAACAAATTTTGGATCATTTACCAAAAGGAATAGTCGAGGCTCAAAACAACATGAACCCAAATTTAGTTGAAGCGTTATTAATGGAAGGGGTGTTACATTGTATTCCGTTTTTATCGAAATGGGCCAATGATGAAAGTAAATTATTAATCTAACTTTAAAAGTAAAATCACTTTTTTTTTGTAAACTTTTTTTTTTAGCCACCTTATTAAACGTAACTGCAGAAGAACTTAAAGCTGCTGGTATCAACAATCAAGAAGACTGCACAAATATTTTAAATGCATTCCATTTGTATAATAAACAAAAATATCAAACAACCCAAGTGGATGGTGATAAATTACCATCAGCTCCAATTATGGAAGTTGAAGAAGCGAGTGCGCCACCCGAAGACTTCGTAGCTTTTGTATCATCAGAATGTGTTATTTGTTTACATCTAGCGGTAATAAACTTAATAATGATTACGATAATTTCTTATTCTTTTCTTTTTAGTGTCAAATAATCTTTGTGCCATGTGGTCACTTTTGCTGTTGTAATAATTGTTCGTTATCAGTTAGTGATTGTCCACTTTGCAGATCAACTATTAAACATAAAATTAGGACAGCGACGTCTTAGCATGATGAAAAAATCAACATTAATTTTATTGATACATAACATATAAATACAACTTTATTCTAGTCTTTTTATAAACTAAATTTTGTGCAATATTATAAATTTGTGTGTTATTAATTATAAATTTGTATTAAATTCATATGTATTGCAAAAAAATAAACTATATTATCATAATAATAATAAAGATTGAATTTATTCTATAATTTTATTTCAATTCTTTACAATTTTAATAACATTTTTTACATAAGTCAAAAAATACTAATATTAATCGTCTTTTTCTTCAGTTTCTTCTTCATGTTCCACATCTTCCTCTTCAACTTTTCCTTTTGAGTCATGTTTTCCTTTAGAATTTTTAAATGCTAAAAGTAAATGCAATAATAAATCAAATATTTTATCCAAATCATCCAACATACCAAGCAAAGCTTCCCTTAATTGCTCAATAAATTCCTCAAATTCAGCTTCTTCTAATGCGTCAAATATATCTTGAGCCAACAACGTTTTTCGATTCATTCTATGCGCCGTTTGTGTACTCAAAGATGTGATGTAAAGTATAAACATAGAGGCAGCTTTAGCTACAGCTGCTTTTACATCTTTTCCAACAGTTACATTATCTGGAAGTACTTCTTTTATTATTCTTTGTACGGAAGCGTTTGATAAATTTAAATCTTCTAGTTTCTCAGCCATTCTTCTCAGGAATTATTTTTATAGGTTAGAATTTATGTTTGTGTTTAAAAACCTAACCTATAAGAATGTTATTGACGTTGACAGTTGGACTAAATTTGATGTTTATTGTTAGAATTAAACAATTAAATTTATTGAAAATAAAACAATAATAAATTAATTTGAATAATAACTCCCGCTGTTATTGTGATATAGACGATTTTAGATATTTTTGAGGTTGTCTTGTGAATAAAAACTTGAAATATCTTTTATTAAGCAGAGAAAAATGGGTTGCCTAAAAATTTTGGTTTTATTCCATATTATTAATTTATTCCATTTCACTTAAGCAACAATATACAAAAATATAAAAAAAAAGATAAAATAAAATTAAAAATACATTAAAATATAAAGCGAAATATTAATATTAACGGTTATAATTTTATTATTTTTAGGTTATCCAACTTAACACGGTTACCATGGTGATTAAGATCCAAATATAGCAGGTGCTTGTCAAAATTGAAATTGAATTTAAGTTTTTTTTAAGGAAAAAGTCTTATTTAATTGGTTTAAAAGGTTGTATTTAACTCAAAATTGGTTTATCTAGGGTATTATAAACAAGGTAAGTGCATTAAATCAAAAAAAAGATATTTTTAATTTATTTCTCTTAATTAGAATCGATTTAAATTAACTACAATTAACGAATTTGTTATGAATGCGAGGTAATCGTAAAGAATTCGAATTGTTTTAAAATTAATAAAAATTAGGTTAGAATTGGTAAAAAAATCGGAATAAAATTTTATTATTTTAAGGTTATCCAACTTGACTCGGTTACCATGGTGATTAAGATCCAAATATTGCAGGTGCTTGTCAAAATTGAAATTGAATTTAAGTTTTTTTTAAGGAAAAAGTCTTATTTAATTGGTTTAAAAGGCTGTATTTAACTCAAAATTGGTTTATCTAGGGTATTATAAACAAGGTAAATGGATTAAATCAAAAAAAGATATTTTTAATTTATTTCTCTTAATTAGAATCGATTCAAATTAACTACAATTAACGAATTTGTTATGAATGCGAGATAATCGTAAAGAATTCGAATTGTTTTAAAATTAATAACAATTAGGTTAGAATTGATAAAAAAATCGGATTAAAATTTTATTATTTTAAGGTTATCTAACTTGACTCGGTTACCATGGTGATGAAGATCCAAATATTGCATTTGCTTGTCAAAATTGACGTTGAATATAAGATTTTTTTATGAAAAACACATAACTAATTGGATTTAAAGGTTGTATTTAATACAAAGTGGGTAAATGGATGAAATTACAAGCAAGGTAAGTGGATTAAATAAAAAAAAAATAATTTTTAGATCAATTAAAATGTACAAGATTTTAGGGTTAAATAAGAATTAAAACTAGAACTAACACTAGACCTAGAAGTAGACAGTCGGGTTTAGTCGTGAAAAAAACTTTCAGTTGTCAATGTCAACTTTAATTCGCAATCTTCATAAAATAACCTTTAAAGTGAGTTCAAACTTGACGCATTTATCTCAAAAAACGAAAAAGTTCGAACTTTCAATTTTGACATATTTGTCAACTTCATAAAAAATCCTTTAAAATGAGTCCAAACTCGACATATTTAACTTTGATATTAATGGAAATACAATCACTTCCGGTTTGAAACGTCAACGTCAATTTTGACATATTTGTCATCTTCATTAAAAAACACTTAAAATGAGTCCAAACAAGACACACTTATCTCAAAAAACAAAAAAGTTAGAATAAAAGACGTTAAACCCGAAGTTAGCAACAATGAAGATAGCAATTTAATTTTTAAATATTAACACCAACCTTTATTTTGAAAATTTTGACCGAAAATTGACCATAAGTTCATTACTATTGAAGATAAATATGTCGTGTTTGTACTCATTTTAATGGATTTTTAATGAAGGTTACAAATGTCAAAATTGAGGTTGACATTATAGTTAGTTATCAGTTATCATATAATAGACAAATGGACAATTTCGTGGTGTTCTTTCATGATGTATTCTTTATTAAAAAACCCTTTAGAATGAGTCCAAACATGACACACTTATCTCAAAAAACAAAAAAGTTTGAATAAAAAAACGTTAAACCCGAAGTTAGCAACAATGAAGATAGCAATTTAATTATTAAATATTAATACCAACCTTAATTTTTAATTTTTTTTATTGTATTATTGTTTTTGTGATAAATTTTAAGACATTTTATAAAAATTAAGAATTTGTCAAAATGACATTGACATTTCAAACCGGAAGTTGCTTATATCTCGAATAATATTGGAATTAAACGTATCATTTTCACGACGATTACAAATATGTCAAAATTGGCGTTGACATTCTTAACCGGAAGTTGAACATAACCTCATTAATATTGAAGATAAATATGTCGTGTTTGTACTCATTTTAAAGGAGTTTTAATGAAGATTACAAATATGTCAAAATTGAGGTTGACATTTTAAACCTGAAGTTAGTTATCATATAATAGAAGTTTTATAACTGAAGTTAATCTAGTGTTAGTCACTTTTCATATTTGTCAACTTCATAAAAAAATCCTTTAAAATGAGTCCAAACTCGACATATTTAACTTTAATATTAATGGAAATACAATCACTTCCGGTTTGAAACGTCAACGTCAATTTTGACATATTTGTCATCTTCATTAAAAAACCTTTAAAATGAGTCCAAAGATGACGCACTTATCTCAAAAAACAAAAAAGTTAGAATAAAAAACATTAAACCCGAAGTTAGCAACAATGAAGATAGCAATTTAATTTTTAAATATTAATACCAACCTTAATTTTTGATTTTTTTTTTTATATTTTTGTTTTTGTGACAAATATTAAGACATTTTATAAAAATTAAGAATATGTCAAAATGACATTGACATTTCAAACCGGAAGTTGCTTATATCTCGAGTAATATTGAAATTAAACGTATCATGTTTGGGCTCATTTTAAAGGATTTTTCACGGCTATTACAAATATGTCAAAATTGACGTTGACATTTCTAACCGGAAGTTGACCATAACTTTATTAATATTGAAGATAAATATGTCGTGTTTGTACTCATTTTAAAGGATTTTTAATGAAGATTACAAATATATCAAAATTGAGGTTGACATTTTAAATCTGAAGTTAGTTATAATATAATAGACAAATGGATAACTTTATGGTGTTCTTTTATGATGTATTCTTTAAATCGAGTCCAAACTCGACCCGGTTATCTCAAAAAAACACCCGAGATATCTAACATTTAACATTTGACATAACCTCAAAAAAGTGACAATCGGAAGTTTGTTGTCTTTTAAGATAACTCGACCGAGTTTGGGCTCATTTTAAAGAGAATTTAATATAGATTACGAATGCGATTTTGGTTTAATTAAATTCTGTCAAAATAAAGACAAATTGGCGGATAATTCAATGAAAAATGATACGATTCGAACGAAATTAAGTTCGCGGGGGACTTTTAAGTAAAAATATAGAATTTCGCTATTATTTTATTAAAATTATTAATCAAGATGGCGGAAAATATCAAATAATATTAATTTGACGTTTATAAAGTGAGGTTAGGTTTTTTATTTATTCACGATCGTGTGGTGAATTAAAAATGCTTCAAATTGAGTCCAAATTCGACTCGATTATCTCAAGAAACATCCGCGACCCCACGTTTAATTTTGACATAACCTCAAAAAAGTGACAATCGGAAGTTTGTTATCTTTTAAGATAACCCCATCGAGTTTGGGCTCGTTTTAAAGAGAATTTAGTGTAGATCACAAATACGATGTTGGATTAATCAAATTCGATTTAGAAGTTTAATTAAGCTTTTAGATCTAAAAATAAAGTTTTTCGTTAAGATATCACTATGTTGCATATTTTTATGATGATAATTGATCACTTTACTCGAAAATACTGCCCGTTTAACAAAATTAGCAATGGCGTCAAGAATATTTTTGAAAAAGGGCTTTTTATTGCAGATAATGTTTAATTTTACAGAAAATTTGACCTTCTATATCTCGTTAAGGAGGCATTTGCGACCCCATGTGTATTAAGACTTTTCATCTTAATTTTTCATCTATTATCTACTCGAGAAGTCTGTCAGTGGTTTTTTGTATCACTCTGTATAGACCTTTTTAGTATTTTTGAGGTTGTCTGTGAATTAAAACTTGAAATATCTCTTATTATGTAGAGGAAAATCGAAGCGAGTGTGATGTCAATAACTGATTGACCACTAGCGGTTATAAAGCTTCGATTAAGTATATCTAAATTACTGCTAAAAATGAATTCAAGAAGGGACTTACCTCTTCCATTATCATGCATTGGGGTTTATTGAACGTTCCTTTTGAAAAAAATAAAAATAAATTTTCATTTATAAGATTTTATTTTAATTGTTACACAAATTTACAATTTACATAAAATTTTATATCCTGTACTAAACAATGTGGAGACGTCAATAGGGTCACAAATTGTCACGATATATCTATATAAATAATTTGGTCGGTGTGTATATACAATTAGCAAACAAATCAAACAATAAAACCAACGATAATCTCAATCTAATTCTCATCCGCATTAATCAGTCAACCATTCTCTCTCATTCTTTCCTGACCTGTCCCTGAATACATCAGTACCTTTGTGATATTGATACGGAAATTGACGTTGATCGTCGTTTTACATTCATAATAATAACAGTCGTGCTGATAAAACGAAGATCTAAAATTATCACCTATAATTTTCCTAGTTAAAATAAGTTATGAAAAGCGTGACTAAACCCTAAAATTGTAGGCAAAGAAAACAGCTAATCTCTCTTTATTAAGTTTTTAAGCATAACGATGCCAGTCTTTCCATTTTCATAGCAGATAGATATTATTTACTTGATTAAAAGGATATAGGCATGTTTAGGTATTTCTTTTTTTTACATATTTCGTTATTTTTCCCTATAATAATCTCGCAGATACAGTCTCTCTATATAGAATATATGAAAAATGTAAACAATCGCGTTAAAATTGACTTAGGTACGGAACATGATATTTGTTTTTGTGTGTTTTAACTGATATTCGTATAGTACCGTATCAGAAAAGTGTTACATTTTAACAATTTGATGGAAGGCTGCCTAACGAGAATATCACTCACTAAAATTAAATACTTTATATATCGCAAAGTGCTTTCTCGAAATATTATTCTTCGGAATTAGGACATACCTACATCAACAAAATAAATTATGTAGGCTTTTGCGCTCTAAATTCTTGTACTAAGCACTAAGATCTAGCGTATTTATTTTCTTGTTAAATTATTTCTTTATTTTTTTTTTTTGGGAGGGGATATTTTAATACATTTTTTGTTTCATTTTATTTCACTTTTTACTTCTTTCGGTCAACTTCTTCTTCAGCACCTTTCTGGGCGGGCGTCTGAGCTGGTGTCGGGTCATCTTGAAATAATGGATTTTTTACTTCCATTTCGCCAGTCTAAAAAAAAGTTATTATTGAATCATACAATAAATATGACCTAAAATGATACTCGTAGAATAGTAACAAATTCTACTTGAAGTATATTATGAAAAATCTTTTATATCGGAGAAACCTAAAGCTCAGTTTTTCTTATTATGTTTGGTGTTATATTACCGTTTAGTCACGAAGCGTACTTGTCCTAAAGAAAATTCTCGGTTAATTAAGTTAAAAGTAGAAACGTCTTAAAAGAGTGTTTTGAGGAACTTTACCGGTGCTAATCCAGGACACTCGTACACCGTGTAATCTCCTTCTTCGTTTTCCTCATCGCTATCTGCTTCCGACACTGAACCATGCCTTTCATTTCCCGCCGCTCTGAAATAAAATAAATTATTCTTAACTTATTTATCAAAGTTAAATCTGAATAAATCACCGTTCCATAGCTATTATCTGCTGTTTTTGATGTTGATAGTGGTACATTTGGGCTGATTGTGCCAATCTTCTGTCACCAGTCGGCGATATCTCTTTGTTAGGACCCGTGATACCGTACGCTGGATACTCAACGTCAGCTGCATTCTTTACATGCTTTTGTAAACTAAAACAAATATCAAAATATATTTGTTGTTTAACACTTTATTGTGTTGTGAGAATTATTTGTCGTGTTTAATAAATAAATGAAAGATTTAAACTATGTGGATGTTTTTGTGGGAAATCAACGTTATAATAAAATATGTGTAGAATGCTGCACGTGTTAAAAACGTGACAGTGATCTATGGTTTTAAGCGAACAATTCCCATTGATTCGCATCCGCCGCGATCCATTAAAACGATTTATCATCTCTCGTAACTGTTTAATAAAAAAATCTAGGAAAAAGCCACACGTTTTAAAATGTCGGAAAATATATATTCTTAATCCGAACAATAAAAGTTGATTTAATGCACCATCAATAATTTTTTTTCCCATAATCATCTTCAGACCACCCGTACCAGGGATTATTCTCAAAAATGCGATTATCTAAGAAGTTGCAATAAAAAATATGATAATAATATCATAATCGTATATGAAGAATCCAATGCACCAGTTTTTACCACGTTGGTAACACCGGAAGTTGCGGCATATTTTTAAACGTTTGGTGAACCGAATAAAACGTAAAGGTTATGTGCAACTAACTCAAAACAAAGGCTTACCGATTCGAAGAGTCAGAAGAGAGGAAAGTATTGCCGAAGTGAACTTGATTCCACACGTTTCTACACGCCGCATTTCAATAGACTTAACATTAAGCCAATTAACAGTATGGAGAATATTAAAGGAAAATCGTTTGCATCCATACCATCTTAGTGTCCATCAGACTCTTGGTGGACGAGATTTTGAAAGAAGGCTGGCTTTTTGTAATTGGATTTTGGATCAAGACGACGATTTTCCTAGACGTGTTCTTTGGACCGATGAATAGCTTTTTAAAAGTAATGGAGAGGTAAATCTTCATAACACCCACAACCGGGCAAGGAAAAATCCGGACTGGGTGAGATATGTTGACAATCAACACTTATGGACCTTCAACAGGTGGTGTGGTATTATAGGAGAGCAAATAACACAGTAACACAGTAAATAAATAATTTTCATTAATATATCCATGTAAAAAATTAAGTTGGAATAATTTTATCGACTGAAATCTTCAAAAAATTGTCAACTTTCGAAAAAAAAATCTCTAGAATTGTAACTATAAAAGAGTATTCTAATATAAGTATATAGTAATATAGTAGTACTATATTAGAGAGAGAACAATATTTATTTGGAATATACAAATAATAACTATAACAAATACGAATAAATAAAAAAAAATACATATATAAANTATTTTAATAAATCAAAATCAGCTTGATTCCATTGTTGCTAAATTGGAATTAACACAGCATAAATCAGAACAGCTGGCTTCGTTTTTGAAATCAAACAATCTTTTGGCACCCGGTACGAAAGTCACAGCTTATCGAAGTCGTCAGGCAACACTCCAAAGATTATTTGTTGTGAATGATGAAAAAACTTCTGCATATTGCTCAGATGTAGGAAAATTGATGAACGCAATGGAAATAAAATATGAAGCAGATGACTGGAGATTATTTATTGACAGATCAAAATTCAGCTTGAAAGCGGTTTTGCTGCATAGGACCAATGAAAAACCTTCGGTTCCAATCGCGTATAGTACAGAAACGAAAGAAACTATGATGCACTACACCATATTTTAAAAATGGTTAACTACGCTAAACATATGTGGCGCATATGCTGCCAAAAGTTGAATTGGATGCTTGGAAGGCAATTAAAGAAGTAATAGAAGGCTTATTGGAAAAGCATCGTTTTAACAACTACGATGTTTCTGTCGTAAGGATGTAAACATCGTTCTTGAAAATTCACTATTTACATCATCATCTGGACTACTTCAGCTGACAATTGGCCACTGAATGTGATGAACAAGGCCAACGAATCACCATCGAAAAGGCCTAGACGCTAGAGCAATGTTTATGAACATATAAACTTTGTTCTTCTTTAAACTAAGTTTGGCCTTAATTTTTGTTAATTTTCATAAAATCAATACTCTTCGGGCAGGAATACTCAGGTCTCAAGTTTCCCTTTTGGACTTATCTTATATTTGTTTTATATAATATATGTATTTTTCTTTTATTGATTCGTATTTGTTATAGTTGAAATATTTATGAAAATTATTTATTTAAGGCTTAGCTATGCCTTAGTCTTTGCTGAAGAATGAAATGTGAAATCATCAATGATTTGAAAGTTGACAATTTTTTGAAGATTTCAGTCGATAAAATTATTCCAACTTAATTTTTTACATGGATATATTAATGAAAATTATTTATTTAAGCCTTAGCTAAGCCTTAATCTTTGCTGAAGAATGAAATGAGAAATCATCAATGATTCTAGAGTTATAACTGAAAAACTAAGCAAACAAACATCAAGATAAGGAAAGAAATATAAAAGGTCATAAGAAAAAAGGTTGGCCTGAGAACGCCAAACCCTTTGGAGGTTTTACTATACTGCAATACTGTAAGGAAGTGAGCAAGAAGGTGGTGTGGCTGTTGATGGCAACGTTTTTGTTCTTAAAATTTTAAATAGGTGTTTAAAAAATCATTGTTATTGTTTGTTCAGATTGTTATTTAATTAATTACTTCAGCATTTTTTATAATACATGTGTAGTTATCATTACTGCAATCATCAATAGCACTTAAAAGTTGCATTAAAGCTAAGAAGAGTTAAAGCAAAAGTTGTTTATTTTTTAAATATCTATTCTACGATAAAACTTAATTTATATAACTTGGAAAATTTTTAAGTTGATGTCATTGCCACCAACTTCCGGTGTTACCAGCGTGATAAAAACTGGTGCATTGGATTCTTCATATACGATTTTATTATTATATTATTTATTGCAACTTTTTAGGTAATCGCGTTTTTGAGAAAAATCCCTGGTCTGAATCGCCCGGTATATCATCATGCAATAAAAATCAATTTATAGTAAATGTATGAATTTTTAAACGCAACCTTGCATAATTTCAAACATAAACGTTAGAGAACTTAATCTCCAAGTATCTCAAAAACTAATTAAGGTATCAATAACAATCAAATGTTATTGATAGAAATGTAAACTTTAAAAAATCATATCTCAAGAACGAATACAGATATCATCAAGAAATAAAAAGCAATTTATAGCAAATTTAGTTGGTACTTAATATTATTGTAAAGATCATTTCTTCAAATTTTCTAATTTCAGATTTATGTATATTTGAACATAACCTTGCTTAATATCAAACATAAACGTTAGAGAAATTAATTCCCAAGTATCTCAAAAATTAATTGAGATATTAGTATGAAATAAAAAGCAGTTTAAAGCAGATTTAATAGCAAGATTTAATATGCCATAAATAATTTTTTGTAACCCATAATCATCGTCGTTATGATTTTTTTAAATCCAACTATGCGTGTTTTAATGTTATTGAACTAAAAACTTTAAAAAATCGTATCTCAAGAACGAATAAAGATATCATCATGAAATAAAAAGCAATTTATAGTTTAATTAGTTAGTATTTAATATTGTAAAGATTTCTTCAAATTTTTAAATTTCAGATTAATGAATTTTTGAACACAACCTTGCATAATTTCAAACATAAACGTTAGAGAAATTAATTTTCAAGTATCTCAAAAACTAATTGACATATCAATATGAAATAAAAAGTAATTTATAGTAAATTTAGTTGGTATTTAATATTGTAAAGATCATTTGTTCAAATTTTCAAATTTCAGATTTATGAATTTTTGAACGCAACCTTACATAATTTCAAAGATAAACGTTAGAGAAATTAATTTTCAAGTATCTCAAAAACTAATTGAGATATCAATATGAAATAAAAGGCAATTTATAGCAAATTTAGTTGGTATTTAATATTGTAAAGATCATTTGTTCAAATTTTCAAATTTCAGATTTATGAATTTTTGAACGCAACCNAATGACGTGAAGAAAAATATATGGAGCAATTTGAAAAACAAAAGTTAATAATCGCTTAAAATTGAAGATGGCCTTGAAAAAAATTTATTTGTAGCATGAACCATAGTATTCATCAAACCATTTCATTTGATGCCTCTGTCATGAAAATCGGAATATAAATGATAGAGTTACAGCTTGGGGCGTTTTTTGTGTGACACCCTGTATTTGGATTTGCCTGTTTTGAAGGTTTATAAATATCTTTACTATTTGCAATTTGAACTAGCTATTCTCGAGTTATTCGAATTTTTCTAGAAAAATTTGCTCCAGCGGACATTTGATCAAAAAATCATAGAACACTCAATTTTTGAGATATCAACTTAGGGTTCAGAACATGCTTAAACAACATGATGGAGTATGTTTTGGTGCGGCTGCCTAGATCGTTTGGTCACTTTACTATGATACGTTAACTTGTCGAAATTTGGAAGCACCNTGAGTGTTCCTGCCCGAAGAGTATTGATTTTATGAAAATTAACAAAAATTAAGGCCAAACGTAGTTTAAAGAAGAACAAAGTTCATATGTTCATAAACATTGTTCTAGAGTCTAGGCCTTTTCGATGGTGATTGTTCTGGGCTAGTGTCATCGCTATCGCAACCATCGCTGTCATCAGTTTCTAAGCAACACATAATGTCAACATGTGACTCCATTGCTGACCCTACTGCCACTTCTGGAAATTCTTCATCATCAGGATAATCCATATCTTCAAAGACATGTCTACTACACCAGCAAATTTTCGCAAGTATTGCACTTGGCGACTGTTTTCCTCTGTATCTGTGATTTGTTTTTTTATTAAAATGAGTTTGAAAAAAAATCTCGTAGATATTACCTAATTTCAAATGGCATAGCAACTTGATGGTTGCGTTCGCCTTGTTCATCAGATTCAGTGGCCAATTGAATTTTCAAGGACATGTGGACGCCAATTTTCGAGAACGATGTTGACATCCTTGCGACAGAAACATCGTAGTTGCTAGAACGATGCTTCTATTACTTCTTTAATTGCTTTTAATAAGCTTTCTTATATCTGGACCATTTAGTACGCCTAATGGAAAAA